AGTTAATAATTGGAAAAGAAAAAAATGGTTGCAAGGAGCTTGATGAGATTGAGTTTACATAAACTTTAAAACTGATGAATGATAGAATTATTACAAAATTAAAAATTATTAATGGTTTTCATGGTACAAGCATTTCTCCATTAAACGTTGAGAATGTTCATCTTGAGCGGAGTATTGAAGTATATTATGATTCGGAAACTGCTTTAAATTAGATGCACAAGTAACTTCAAATGTTCCGGATCTGGATGCGGAAGTTCCAGTTTCTTCAACTTTAAATGAGGATATGCTCAAACTTCCCAAGAGTAATCATATAAAGTCAAGTTAATTTTGTAGAGTATAGACAAGTTAGGAAAACATAATGTCACCTATTTTTCTATTAAGAAAGGATGTACGCCATTTATTTATAGTTCAGTTGTTACTGCTGGAGACATTGATGCATACACAAATTTGAAAGAGGGCTGGTGTAGGAGGTATAAAGTACTTAACCGGTACGGATCACTGTACAGTAACTCCTACCTGACGGTACCAATCACTTGAAAAGTGAATTCTTAACATTTTAATTTTCCCGTGTAAATGTTTTAAAAAGAAGTAACAAGCATGGCAAGTAATACAAAAAACGTTTGTTTGCTATAGTGAACATACTGCTATAGCAGTATAGTATTAGTTTAAACAAAATTTCAAAACCAAACATTTAAAATTAAATATTTATCTCTTCTTTTTTGTTTAAAGATCAAATTAAGATTATTATTATTATTTATATTATTATTATTATTATTGTTATTATTATATAAAATTATTATATAGCAGTTGTTAACAAGGTCAAAAGTAGCAAGGCTAATACCACAAGTTACAAGACCAAAGCCACAAGTTACAAGGTCAAGAGTTTTATGGTTAAGGCCAAGATTTAGAGTTTCAAGGCAAAAGACGGACGCAAAGATTTTTAAGACTTAAGACTTCAATTTTGGCCTTACGTTAAGGCCAAAACTGTAATTAGCAAGTGCTGTGAAATTATTTGGTCTATTTTAACATTTTGTTAAAATAGACCAAGTTTATGTTCAGATTTCAACAAAATCAATAAGAAAATATGTTTTTTTTTAAGGTCGAAATAATCAAGGCCAAGGCCAACAGTTTCAAGGCTAAGAGCCTTGGCCTTGAAACTGACTTTAGAGGACTCCTTAGTTGTAGTGAAATCAACTAAGGAGAAGAAAAATCTGAAATAAAACCACTAATCTATATGTCAATAAGGGTAGTAGAATCTCGTAAACCTTGAAAGATAACCTTACAAGTGTTAGTGAAAATAAGAATACTCAATCCTAAACTTCAAAACAGGTCAAATTTAAGAAGGAGATTATGTTGTAAAAACTCTTCTGTAATTTTATTTAATTTAAGAAGGAGATTATGTTGTAAAAACTCTTCTGTAATGTTATTTAATTAGAAATAAGAAGTTTTGAAAATTTGAAATCGTTTTATAAAATTAACTTAATCCAATTATTTTGAAAGTTATTAAAAATAAATAAATTTAAACTAAAAAAAGTAAATACTCTCTTTAAAAATGTTTTCTTTGCCGTTAGTACATGTTACCTGACTTAAGTGTTTGGTGCCTAGCCGGTAGGAATTACTATACAGTGCTTTGCACCAAGGCAGCAAGCACTGTACAGTACTTGGTACCTTCCGGTATGGCTTACTGTACAGTGAACGCTACCGTTAAGTCAATTCTGCCAACTACACCGGCGCGAGTAGATTTCAAATGGAGAGGGGGTGCCATTCAGGCTTTTGCCAAAAACTTTTTTAACATACAAAAACAAATCTAAATTGCTCCACAATGTTGAAATCAGTTAATTAAAAATTTTTTGTTTTTCTCCTTTTCACAGTTGTTTTGATTTTAACTGTGTTAAAAATCAATTGAATGTGAACATGATGATTATAAGTTATAATCATAATGCACACATTCAATTGATTTTTAACACAGTTAAAATCAAAACAACTGTGAAAAGGAGATATCTCTTATAATATAAGAGATATTTTCTTAGAAAAAAACGTTTCTATTTTGTTTTTTGCCACAATTGTGGGAAAATTTGTAAATGGTTTAATGTTACCTAGTTTTCTATTTCCATTTAAATAAATGCAGAATTTTGTAATGAGAAATTTATATTTTAGGGAGCGCCAGTTGACTGATCTAGAGAGCGCGGGGGGAGGGGGCAACTTCCTCCCCCCTCCCACGTCCTATGGTGAATCCGCCACTGATCTGAACCTGTTGCTAAAAAGAAGCATGAATGACCAGCTGAAAATATTTAATATGTATTTCTTTAGTTGTTTTAAGAAATCAAATTCGAATTTCTTTTATTCTTACAAGTTCAAGTACTTTTATATTAAATGTTTCTTTATAAACTAATTGCGTTTTTCTCGAATGAAAAGAATTTATAACAGTCATTCATTTATACCGCAAAATTACCGCAAAAAATTAATTTTTCTATCGCAAAAAACAGATTTCATACCGCAAAAAATAAATTGGTTAAATAACTTCGTTTTTAAATAAAAGCAATAAGGCGCAATGAAAATGGGATAGTAACACGTTAAATCTTTTCTTTACTGCACATTTTGCTGCATATTTCACTTAAAGAGTAAAAAGTTGTAAATAAACAAAGTTTCAAAGAGCGGAATACGATAAAAAACAAATCTTTTACCCTATATTTTAATTTTTTTTAGTTTTAGTGCGTGCGTACAGAGTTATTAACAAGACCAAAAATAGCAAGGCCAAGGCCACACGTTACAAGGCCAAGTCCAAGGCCAAAAGTTACATGACCAAACACAAGGCCAAGAATAAGAGTTTTAAGGTCAAGGCCAAGAATAAGAGTTTCAAGGCCAAGGCCTATGCAAACATTCTCAAGACCAAAAACTTCAATTTTCGCCTTACGTTCCCGGTGGGAAGTCGGCTAGCGAATAGCTAGCTATAATCGTTACGATAAAGACAGCGATTTGGCAACGAGGACAGCTAGCTTAACAAGCTGAAGATCCACTGGCTATTGTACCTAGCGTCATATTGTAATAAAACCGTTGTCTAAAAATTTTTGATATGTAGCTACCAACCAGGTATGGATTTGTAGATATTTTGTAGCTAGCTACAAAGCTACGATATGTAGCTAGCGACACATTGCTACAAAATCGCAATGTTTAAAGTTCAATTATTTTCATAGTTATAATAGACTCAACACTAAAAATCGAATTTTCAAAGATGTTAAAGACATTTGCAAAAAATAAAATAAGAAAAAAAAAATCGCTAGGAAATCGCTATAGAGCTAGCTAGTCGCTAGCTAGTCGCTAGCTCATTTCATACCGGGTTAAGACCAATTATTAAGAAAACTGTAAGTAGCAAGTGCTGTGAAAATAAAACCATATTTTATAAAAATAAACCAAGGTTAACCTTGGCCTTAAAAAAAATACGAATTTTCTTATTAATTTTGTTGAATTCTACACATAATTATGTGTAGAATTCAACAAAATTAATAAAATTGGTATTTTTTTTAAAGCCAAGGCCAAAACAAGGCCAACAGTTTCAAGGCCAATACCAAGTCCTCAATTTTTGGCCTTATGGCCAGGCCAATGCCAAGGCCAAGGACTAACAACTCTGCGTGCGTATCCAATAAGTTACGGCAGCGATTATGTAATCAAAATCTACATTTTGTTGAGTTATTTGTTAGAATTTTATATCAACATAGACATTTTTTTAAAAATAGAAGAGTTAAACTTAATTTTTTTATAGTTTTTTTTTTTTTTTGTTACAACTGTTTTTATTGAATTAACCACTTTTATTGAATTAACTTCTATTGAAAAAACGTCGTTGTTGATCAGACTTCAAATTTGTTTTGAAGAAATGTTTAAAACATTTTTGAAACTATTGAGAAAAGTTTAAAAACATATTTTTTACGTTAATACCAAATTTTATTTAAAAAGATTATGTAGCAGACACCTTAAGTTAAAATACTGTAAGGAAAGCACTTCTAAAACAAAAAATTCCATAACAAAACTACCGTTAGCTGAACCATTTTAAAATTGGTCGCAGTTTTTTTAAGCAATTCTTGTAATCAAACATTTTTACTAAAATGAGCATAACTTTTTGTAGAAGTGTTATTTTGTTATGAAATTTTCACTATTGTAATTTTATCCTCTTTTTAATGATATATAAAAATCAATAATAAAAATAGTTCAAAATTTTGACACATGTCCCTATTAGTTTTGAGATGTTGCTTTTTTGTTGATAGCAAGTAAAAATTATTAAATGGGGTTCTTACTAAGTTTATGGTATAAAAATTTACGAAAATTAATAAACTTACTCTCTTATGTCTTAAGCATCTAAGAGTAACTAAAAATAGATCCATGCTAATATTTTATCTAGACATTGTTTACTTTTAGCAAGGACGTATAAATAGACGCATTGTTATAGATCAAAGGCGCTGCTAATTTTTGAAAGTCTATGAGGGTTATAATTTTTAGAGTCATTTTTTGAAGTAATTTTACAAAATAAACCAACACTTAATCGACATTTTTGCTATGTTAACTTCTTTCAGTAAACGTTTTATTACTTGTAAAACACTAACTTTAGGGAAATATAAATGCATTTTATGTAATTAAGAATGTCTCTTGTTTGAAAATATTTTAATTGATATGCAAGCTTTGTTTAGTAATAACTTATTTGTAAAAAAAACTTTGACGTCAAAAGTAATGTTTTGGTAAAAATTAGCAATTGGACTTTGATCGCCTTTGAGTGATTTTTTTTGCTAACCTATTTTAATTTCTAAAATAAAATGTTTTTATCCTATGTTCAAATCAGAAGAGGTTTAATAAAATAAACTTTTAAAGCTCTCTTACTATTTGTTTCTTAAAGTTTGTTACCTTTTTGACAAATTTGAATTTCAGTCAATGTTTTATTTATTGAGATTAAAATTTCATTAAACAAAAGCTTTGAAAATAACTTTAAAAATCGCGACTTTGATTAAAAAAAAAATAATGTTAATAGAAATAAGAGATTGGATACTAGATAGATTTATATAAGATGCGATCAAATACTAATTTTAATGCAAGAAATAATAAACATACTGATTTATAATTGACGACGTACAATAGTATGATTTAAGAAAAAATATTTTCAAAACCGTGAAAAGTTTTGAATTATTATACGGTTTTAAAGTTGTAAAGATTTAGTTTCAGAAGTTTATTGCAAGGTAATAATCAAAGTAAACTTTAGTATAGGAAGAATTTTATTTAGATATGTAATTGGTTTCGATAAATATCATATTTAATATGTATGTATGTATGTATGTATGTATGTATGTATGTATGTATGTATGTATGTATGTATGTATGTATGTATGTATGTATGTATGTATGTATGTATGTATGTATGTATGTATGTATGTATGTATGTATGTATGTATGTATGTATGTATGTATGTATGTATGTATGTATGTATGTATGTATGTATGTATGTATGTATGTATGTATGTACGTATGTATGTACGTACGTATGTATGTACGTACGTATGTATGTACGTATGTATGTACGTATGTATGTACGTCGGTATGTACGTAGGTATGTACGTAGGTATGTATGTATGTATGTAAGTATGTATGTATGTATGTATGTATGTATGTATGTATGTATGTATGTATGTATGTATGTATGTATGTATGTATGTATGTATGTATCTGTGACTCATTGTTCAATTTATGATAAGTGCAAATATTTTGCATGAGAAGAATTTGAAAATTTGATTGTTGCCAAAAATTGGATAATAATGAAAAATAAATTATTTTTTTAAAAACTACAGCAATGGTTGTTTGATGAAATGAAAGATCTAATGTAATATATAAAAAAAAAAAATGTATATATATATATATATATATATATATATATATATGTATGTGCATATATATAATATATACACATATATATAATGTATATAAAGACACATACATATATACATTATATATACAACCCTTGGAATTAGGAAAAATGAGGTCAGCAATAAATTGCCGACCTCAATTTTTTTCTATGTTTTATGGTCAAAGCTCTGACCATAAAACATAAAAACAAGGTTGGCAAAAAATTTTTTGCCGACCTTAAACACCTTCAAGTCAGCAGTTAGGTCAGTATTGCCGAATACCCACTCTAATTCCAAGGGTTGTATATATATGTATGTGTGTATATATATGTGTATATATATATATATATATATATATATATATATATATATATATATATATATATACATATATATATATATAAAACTGTGCAACGCAAAAGCACAACGTGATTTTTGACGTCATTAAATTCTTTTTATTTGCTTTTCATATTTATCGACATTAACTGCACCAATTTACTTAATTACCGCAAAACTACTTTAAATCATTAATGTAGAAATGTTATTATTTAAAAATGTTTTCGAATGTTTTGTTTTTAAAATGTAAAAACATTTGTTTATTTTCTCGACGTTTTACACATTTTGTCTATACTAAATGAATAAAAAACATTATAACTAAACATTTAAAAAAGATTATAAAATATGCTAATATTTGATTTTTTTTCTTCTCAAATATATAATTTAAATTTTTTCAAATAATTTTTTTTTTTTAAAAGTCAGCAAGTAATAAATTGGAAATTTTAATATTGTACGATTAAAAACTGTGCAATAGCTAATATTTTTACCAGCGATTTTATATAATATTTTTTTATTTATTTATTTTTATTTATTTTCATAAAGCGGTTGATAAGCACAATCACTCGTATTACTAAAAAACTTTAATGAACGTTTTGAATAGATTTTTAATGTTTACAAGGAATTTTATTTCTTAAAATAAGTAAAAGAGTTTCGGTAATTTTTAACAAAAAAGCAATTTTTATTATTAAAATTTTTTTTTGAGTTACTTTTTATAAAAATTTTAATAACTGTACTTTTTTATTGAATCAAGTAGAATACGTTTTAATATTAACCCTTTTATTTTTTTTTATTTGCGCTTACCAATTTTTAAAATATTTCCTTGAAATTACTCTTAAATACTTTAAATACGTCTAACAGTTAATAAATATTTTTTAATCTATGGAATAATTTTAAAACCTAACAAACTCCCGTAAAATAATTATTTAAGTTAAAAATCTAAAACTAAAAGAAAGTATTTTTGTTCAATTTTATCGACAACTTTGCTATTGCTGAATAATTTTATTAAAATGTTAGCTTAAAAAGATTTAAACTTTTTTTTTAATCTGAATTTTTTCTACTTGTAAATAATAAGCATATTTAATTTCTTTGTAATTCAAACTTTTATTTTAACTGCGTGCGGTTTTTAAAATACTTTATTAAATGTTAAAATAATCGTAAATTACTTCATTAAAATTCCGTTCAAAAATATCTTTAAATATACTCAAATAAAAATTTTTTTGCTCGACAAAAATAGTCCTAGCTACACCCAAAATCGCTCTTGGACGACATAAAATTCACATCGCACAATGTTTTATCGCAAGGCCTGATATATATATATATATATATATATATATATATATATATATATATATATATATATATATATACTTTTCATTAAATTTTTTAGTATGTACTGTCAAATAGGATAATATGGCCACTTTTTTACTGTTTTTTTTTTCAATAATTTGCTAAATACAAGAGCTAATAACTTGTAGATTTTATTCAACAATAACTCATACAAGATGCACATTATATGTGAAAATCAGCAATCTAACTTTGAAACTTTAGCCACAATATTTTAATAAAAATTATTTCTAAAAACTACAAAAATGGGGTAATATGGCCATTTAGCAAAAAAACTAATTTAAACTACAAAATATTGCAATACATGTACATGAAATGAAACAAAGTAGCAAATAGCAAAACAGGATTATCAAAATTAAATCAAAAAAAAAATTATATATATATATATATATATATATATATATATATATATATATATATATATATATATATACATATATATATATCTATATATATATATATATACATATATATATGTATATATTGCAATACATGTTTATCAGGCCTTCTTGTAAGAGGCGTGCGATCGCACGCCTTATATCGATAAAAGTGCGCGGATTTCTTAAAAGACAGACAGAAAAACAAACATCACGTTTCTTTAATTTTGCTTATGCAAACGTTGCAGTTTGATTAGGATTTTTCAAAACGAACGTATTACTTCAGTAGTTTTTTTCAAAGTAATTTTGCGATCATTAGTTTTTTATTTATTATAAAAAACACATATTTAATATGAAAAACAGTTAATTTTACAGACTTAAATTAATGCCAAAACATAAATACTTTTTTCAATAGCGTCACTTTTAAGTAAAATAACTAAATACGCTTTAGAAAAAAGAAAATATGTTTTAGCATGGTTTTTGCATGCGCTCACAAATGCATACATAATTTTACTTAAAATGAATCCTTTTGCCAAAACTTCAAAAGAAACCATGCTCAAACATTTCGATTGCTTTCTTTTATTGAGAAAAGCGGTCTAACGTTTAATGATGGTTTCTTTTATGTTTTTATCAATTACATTAAAAGTTTAAAGTAAATGTATTAATTATAAATAAAATTTAGCATGCTTTTTTTAAAAATTTTCTTATTTTCCATTAAGTGAAATAATGTTTGTTTGCATATTAAAACTTTTGCACTTTTAAAAATTTTTTTATTGTGCATTTATCATTAATTTGCATTAATGTAACTAGAATAAAAATTATTTGAATTTTATTTGACATAAATCTCTTAAATTAGACGTTCGTCAATAAATAAAGATATACAAGTCAACTTTCATTAAAAAAAAAAAAAATAGTTAAAAAATAGTAGGCAGATGCGATTGTTTCAAGATATTTGTAATTCCTTTTTTTTTAGTAAACAATTTCTTAATTAGAAATTTTATTTCCATAATAAAATGGTTTGTAATTATTTTTTGATAGCTTCTGTACTCATTTTGCCTTACACTATAATCTGAATATTTTTTTCAATGATTGCCTTTAATTAAGATGCATTAAAGTACTCAGGAAATTTTGTGGGAGCTTAATTGTAATTATGGAATCAATTAAATTAAAAATCGCATTTGATTTTTTTTAGCGCATTTTTTAAACATGCTAATTATCAAAACTTGCAAAGAACCGTGGTTAAGTTGTTAAAACAAAGAACTATATGCGTGGTCATATAAGACGTGCAATCGCACGCCTCTTACTAGAAGGCCTGTTTATAAAATTTAAAGTTGCAAATCGCAAAATTAGCAAAAATAAAATTCACAATACAAATACAATAAAATAAAGAAAATTCTTAACGAATTGCAAAGGCACTTAAGTCTGCTTTAATGCAAATTCTCCCTGCCTTGACACTATTTTTAACACGGTTTCAGAGATCTTCTCAATGGTTTTACTAACAAAATGAGCTGTATGGGACCTACTATCATTCGTCTCAAAACTGGCCAGGACATATGTGCCAAGTTTGCAATTTTTCAGGTCTACCAAACTAGGCCTATTTTGACTTTTAATTTCTACAGGTAACTGTTCAACGTCTTTAATGTTCTCAACACTGGTACTCTCATGTACATAGTCATTTGGTATATTGATACTGGAGCAACCAGCAACTTCAACATCTTCTTCCAGGTTGTCATCGATGTCAGAAGCTTTAACTGTTGGAAAGCTTACACTGGCTCCTGGTGCAATTGTAATCCTCTTTGCTCGTACTCGTATAGGTCCTACTACACTCTTCCTCTGTTCTCTCAAAAGTTCTATTAGTTTTTGGCTGACATACTCTTGCGATGTGTCTCTCTTTCAGGAAGATCTTTTCTTATATTTGCAATGACACTTCTACTGTTAGGTGGAATGATGCCACAGGTTTTAAAGGTGGCTCTTAAGAGATCAGGGAAATTGTTTATTTTTATCATTAGTAAAACTAACAACTTGGGAAAAGCCCAATTAGAAAGTCTCTTGACAAATTTCCCCTTATTTAATTTCCATTTGGACAGTATTACACGCCAATACCTTTTCATAGGGCCATACACTATAACATCCAATGGCTGCAATATGTGGGTTGAGCTAGGAGGCAGAAACACAAAAAATATAAGAACTTGCATGAGCAGCTAAATTGTCTCCAATTATCACCTTCCATGGATCTACGGGCAAATTGTGATACCAAGGTAGAACCACTTTTTAAAACCAGT